AGGTTTCCGTATTTTCCCTGAAGGCTTGATCTGATCAGTCTGAGCCTTCTAAAGGATCACATTTCTGTTATCACTGATAACTGTTATCACTGATAACATGTCGGTTGCCGATTCGTCGGTTTACGACTCAACTCTCCTATCCCTCCTGCCTCTCAACCTAAGGCCTTGCCCTTGCCAGGTTTTGTGTGTTTCTTTGAGTTTTCACCCAGTTCCTTTATAAATGACCATTTCTTAAAGACTGAGTACTTTTGTTGAGGTATGGTGGAGAAATGGTTGGGCTTGTGTGCATAAGGCAGGGTGTGAGTTGCAGAAGGTTGGAAAGTTGACCCCTTTAGCACGTGTGATGTTGTTTGAATGTTGTGTATACGATTGCAGGTATGTATGGAAGAGTCTCATTTGAGTCATGATTGAGTGATTATGTATTGGTTTTAGATGGGCAAACCACACAACTGTCGTGAGAGTGAACTACCCCACAACCTTTTGTTTGAGTGAGATTGTTTTTTTCCCACCCCGATAATGTGATAATGTGATAATCAGAGTAAGCGTACGCTCGGGTAACCCCTATAGGGCTATGCGGCCGCACCCTTACGTTTCCCCCTACTCAAAGATTTTATCTGGTCGGACGCTAGTCCTAGGCCTGAAGAAGGTCCTTGTCCAAGACGCTGATTTGCTTACGGTCCCGTGGGAACAGAGGCGCCGCAAGGAGGAAGGGCTGTCCCCCAGCCACTCGGTCCGGCGGGGCGTTCATGTTCCCCCTGCCAACGTCTAATACTCCTCTTTTTTTTTCCTTGTTTAAATTATTTTGGTGGAACGGTAAAGTTCCGGGCGGAAGGAGTAGCGTGTCGCTGGTGGTGCGCCAGACAACTCACCACCGCTCCGAATTCCTTTCTGCCCTAGGGACCATCTTACCCCGCACCCCTTGGGACATCTCACGGTGCTGAAGATGATAAGGCCCTCAGGCCGGTTTTGGGCTCGCTAAAGGGTTACCTCCCCTTAGCGCGCACTTCAGCCGACGCCTGAGCGTCGGGAACAACCCCATGGGTTAGAGGAGGCCATTTGGGTGTGGGCACCACATAATGCGTCGTCATCGCGACTACTTGGGTAGGGCTGCATTGCAGATTGGTATGTGTAGGTCGTGCGACCGCGCGACCTTATACTAAACCTCGCGCACGACCGTCACCGACTTCCACTGCGGAAAGTTATGGGTCAAACGGAGTCTCTCTCTATCGACGATTGATTTTCTTTTTGAGTTTGTGGTTGGACGTTGTAGTCCGTGGCAGCCGTCAAAGTCAAACCCCTTGATTTTGGCTACCACGACAGCCTTGAAGTTCTGTACTCAACCCCTCTGCACAGGGTGCAGAAGAGGGTGTGGTCGTCAACCGCACATAGCGATTGTCTAGCGCCGAGAAGGTAACCTCTTAAAGCGCTGTCAGCCGACACTTGAGTGTCAAACGCGACCCTCGAGATTATCAAGGGTCATGAGGATACGAGTACCACATAGTACCCCATCAGCGCGAGTGCTTGCGTATGCCCGCATGACTGGTTAATATGAGGAGGCCAGACGCTCGCTCGACACTTATACGGAAGTCTAGCGCGCAATACCTATCTGATTCTCGCGGCGTAACGTTATGGGTCGGATACTGAAGGGACTAGGAGTATTGTGGTGTTGTGGCGTCGTTTATGGAGTTTGTTTTATGTATCTCCATGCGTTATGTGTGGGTAGATGTGAGTGTTGTGGTGTACGCGTAGTGTGTGTGAGGCGTCCTGGTCAACCGGCGCCGAGTCGCGTTTGGGACCTCAGCCCCCCAGAACGTCGATTCTCGTGTGGGTTCGATTTCCGGGCGTTCGACCTCACGTAACCCCCTATGCTACAGCGAACGAGAAATGCCCTCGGCTGGGCCACCTCTGCAATTGCATACGAAAAGCTTTCGCATGTGGTTTAGTAGCTCGGCAGGGATACGCCCACCTAAGGGATGGTGACAGCTCCCGCAGGTGGAGGTAAGCGGTGCCTCGCGTGACCCTGTCATGTCGTAGGGGTTCGCGAGAGGTACGGCTGACGCACTCGGCCGGAGCGGCAAACGCTCTTTGCGACAAGTCCTGCCAAATCCTGCGTGACGCGGCCGGGAGGGTCCCCGTGCGAGACCGATGCACTCGACAGGTGGCGCCGTTGCCGGGGATCTCGGCTGCCTACCGGGGTCCTTAAGAGAACAAACCCAGGTTAAGTGCAGGCTGATGATCTAGGCAAAACGACAGAGGTTTATGGTCTGGATTTTTCTTATATAAAGAGGATTGTGTATGATATAATGATAAGACTAAGTGATTAAGAGTGCGGCTTAGGGTTGTGTCTGAGGTTTTGAATAACTAATAGTCGAATGGTTGGCTGAATCTAGAGGTGGAACGGCTAGATAGGACTTAGGACAAGTCCCCTAGAACTTGACAAGTTGTCTGGTGGGCTACCCTTCTTTCCTAACAGGTTGGTTAGCCGAGGGAGGTAAAGATGCCGGACGCAGATGGAATTGAGCGGGGTCCGGCCGCTACGCCGGAAGGCATTGTTAAGGCACTCGAGAAAAGGGAGTTGGCACGGCTACAAGTGCCGAAAGTTGACATCTTTCTGTTCGAAGGGGAGAGGGTGTCTAAGTGGTTCGCGCTGTTGGAACAAGTTACAGTCGAGGTACCAGAGACATATAAGTTCAAGTTCCTACCTAGATATATCTGGTGGGAAATCCGTCCCGAGATAATGAAGGTGGCCGCTGGAGCAGGGGGAGATTGGGCCAAGTTCAAAGGGGAGATGTTGAGGCGCTTCAAGCTAGGGGACGGTCTGCTAACGAAGACAGACCTGGAAATGTTGCAGAGAGATGAGTTCTCTATGGTGGGGGCTTTCGCCACGACATTCGAAAAGATAGCAAGGAAAGTCCCAGGATTGGCCGAAGAAAGTAGTGTGCAACTCCCCTGGGGCACTTCAAGAATTGGGAAGCCTCTGCGCTAACCAAGAAGGCTACGCCAGGGAAGAAGTTGACTTGGGCCGCCATAAGAGAAGGCGTGTTAGAGGGAGAGTTTGACCAAGTGGACATCTTCCAAATGCGACAGGCTAGGAAGAAGAGGAACTCCTTGGACGCCACGACGAGTGATGGGCGAGACTTTAAGAAAATGGTAGAGGATGCGGTCGCCCAACTGGATGCGGCGAAAGAGGCGAAGGCAACAAGGAAGACTATGGCGGCTCCGCAAGTCTAGGGAAAAGCAAAGAAAGTCGTGGTACAGGAAGAGGAAGAAGAAGAAGAGGAAGAAGAACTTGAGCCTAAAAAACTAACGAAGGCTCAGAGAAAGGTGAAAAATTTGGCCCAAGGCGGACAAGGCTCAGGAAGGGGACAGGCCCCGCAGGCAGCGGCAATGCCACCCCCTGAGTCGCCCAGTCAGGCTGCGCCAGCACCTTATGGGCCGTGACCGGGTTATGGACCTCCCAGTCCTTTGCCTGGGCACTATTCATACGCACCATGGTCGATGAGTGGACCGCATGGATCATGCGCCGGAGCGCCAATGAGTACGGCCTACTGCGGATGTCCGGGACCCCAGTCCCAACAAGTAGGCCACCAGAACCCACAGCCAAGCTAACCTCAACAGCCAGCCCCACAAGGATCACAAGGGAGTTAAGGTGGTGGACGCGGACAGAGCCAAGGATGGGGCCGAGGGCGAGGAAATGGTGGCCGAGGAGGAAATGGCAGAGGAAACGGTGGTGGAAACCCTACAGGCGGAGGAAATGGGGACTGGAATGCTTCAGGAAGCCAGGGCAGCCAAGAAGGTGGACGCGGATATGGCAGAGGAAGAATAGACTGAAGGAATGTCATTTGCTGGCATTGTGGGCAGAAAGGCCATACCATCAAATTCTGCCATGTTCGAAGAAATGATGAAGACGAAGGGCTAATCAACACTAACTATGACGGGGACATGTACGACAAATGGGGGTATTATCTTGATCCAAAGATCCCCGGCGGTACGAGGAAAGAGGCCCTACGAAGAGCCGAGGCTGGTGCACCACCCGCGCCTCCAGCCATGTTTCGGATGTGGCAGGAGAAAGAGGTCCGCAGTGACATCAGGGTGGAAGAGGTAGGAGAGAACGAAGAGGTAGAGCAAAAAAGGAAAGCTGGCACCATCAAGGAAGAACTAATCATAGTAGAATCCAATGATGAGATAGAGGAGGACTGTTGGAACAGGCCACGACATGCTACGATAGGAGAGGATTGCTGGAGAGAGGCCCGACAGACAATGGAAAGGATGGAAGACTTAGTCGCTAATGTCGGAAGATACCAGCAAAAGTTGTCCGATATGTGTGAAAAGGTCAAGGAATGGCAGGGTAAGGAGCCACTGGTATACCTCTACGACTTAGGTCCAGGGTCGCAAGGTGGGGCTGGAAACTTACTAGGCGTCACGACATCAGGGCCAACGCCAAGGTCCGGAATGACCTACAGACCACCCTCGAGATTGGGAAGAGCACCGTAGACTGTCAGGACAAGAGCCAAAGGACCGATGAGCCCTGAGGAACCGGCAAAGGATGTTCCTGAACCCAGCAAAGAGAAAGAGGTGGTGGATGTTCTAGAGGGGGAGGATGATGAAGATGACAGTTTGAGAAAAGAAGAGGACGAGAAGGTCGAGCAAACTTAGCAAAGGGCCAAAAAGAGGGGCGCCAAGCTTGATACGGACAAAGCTCAGGAGGTGAAGAAGAAAAAGTACGCTGTTCGAGTAGAGGAAGGGTTCGACGTAGAGGAGATCATGGACAGGATTCTTGAAGGTCATAATCATCTTATGACCCTGAAGGACGTCCTGGCCTCAGCGCCAAGGCTCAGGGACGAGCTGAGAGCGCGTTTATCAAGGAAGATGGTGGTCAGCGTGCAATTAGGAACTATAATCCCTAAGGAAGCTGAATGGGCTGAGACAAACACAAAGATGGACTGGAAGTCAGTCGCATGTGGATGTCTCGATGTAGTGGTGAAAGGAAAGACGTGTACGGCGATGGTGGACAGTGGGACGGAAATGAACCCCATAAAATAGGAGCATGCTTTGCGCCTAGGGATGGAGATAAACCGCTTTGACAATGGGGTCTTGATGGGGGTGAATAGTCGATCAGTGTTCATAGGGACCGCCTCATCGGTGGTCCTGGAGATAGGGAAAGTGAAAGTGAGAAGTTGTTTTTTCGTGATGCCTGATCTTGACCACCCTATTCTACTTGGTAGGTCATTCCTAAGTCGAACGGAGACGGTCATACTCAACAAGCATGACGGGACTATGTTCCTCGTCCTGTGCGATCCAGTATGCGGAAATTATGAAGTCATCACGTGCAAGAACACAGGACCTAGAAGTGTAAGGAACCGGCCCAACCCTGGGTCCTTCACGATTGAAGAATCAGAAGAGGAGAGGTTGAGATTGGAAGGTAGCAGGATTGAAGAGGAAAGAGGGCCAGAGGCACTAACCCTTAGCCTAGCGAATATAGGTGAACATAGTGTCGACCTATGGGATGGCGGATCCAGAGGTTGTGGAGGCCTTGAGAGAAAAGGTGGTGGAACAAATGGGAGCAGGAGAGATGGAGTTAATATACCGGACACCAGGAAGGATAGGTGGAGCGATTGGAGCACAACCCCAAAGCGCAACTCGACCTTTTTTAGGGGTGGGCTCAAGCAGGGGGCACAAAGGCGGTACAAAAGGGTAGATCAGAAGTGTCGCCCTGTTCCCGTACTCGTTGCAGAAGAGCAGGAAGTTTATTACAAGCGGGAACGAGAGTTGATACGGCAGATGCGGAAAAATGCAAAAAATGGGTCATGCCGTAACACTCTTGAGACACAGAAATCCCTGATTATAGGGGAGCCTGGCTTCCTTACAGCACAAGAGGAGAAGCTTATGGTGGAAACCATAAGAGGAAGGCATGCTGCGTATGCCTTCAGTGATGATGAGAGAGGTCGCCTGGACGTGGATATAATCCCGATGATTAGGATACATATCGTGCCTCACGAGCCATGGAACTTGCGAGGTGCGCGGTATCCTAATCCAGCTGATGAAGAGAAGGTAGTTAAATACCTTGACGAAAAAATCCGCACCCATGTAGTAGACTACTCGAGTGGACTGTATACATCCCCCTGGTTTTGTTTTGTCAAGCCCAATGGGACGTTAAGGTGGGTACAGGATTTGCAGAGCCTGAACGCTGTGACAGTGAGGGATGCAGGTGGTCTCCTCAACGCTGATGCGCTTTTAGAGGCCTGCGCTGGGAGAACCATAATATCTCTCATAGACTTGTATTCAGGTTACGACCAATTCTCTGTATACCCATCTGACCGGCCAATGACGACTATGCATACTCCTCGAGTGTTGATCCACATGAACGTTGCACCGCAAGGGTGGACGAATGCGGTTGCCATGGTCCAGAGGTATATGGTGAGGGCGATGCACCTCATAAGTCCTCACATTACGCAGCCCTATATTTATGATCTGGCCGTGAAGGGGCCTAAAGAGAAGGATGAGCAGGAGGTGATGCCAGGAATCAGACGCTTTGTCTGGGACCATGTGCAAAACTTGTGCAAGGTCCTGGACCTTTTGAAGGAGCATAACCTCACTGTCAGTGGGCCAAAGTCGAGGCACTGCATGAGCGGGGCCACTATCTTAGGATTTGTGTGCGACGAGAGGGGTCGTCGGCCAGTGAAAACGGACGCAGGGCCAACTGCTTTAGGGGGAGTGTTGATTGAGCGAGATCCCAATGGAGAAGAACGACCACTAAGGTTTGAAAGTCGAACGCTTAACACAACTGAGAGGAACTACTCTCAGTTTAAGCGCGAAACCTTGACAGTTCTTCACTGTTTAAGGATTTTCAGAAACTACCTCTTCGGCAGCAGGTTTGTAATGAGGGTGGACCCAACTGCTCTAGCTGGTTCTCTCAAGAATTTCGCTCCGTCGGATCCGACCATCGCCAGGTAGCTAACGTACATCTGGATGTTCGACTTCGAGTTGGAACAAATTTCGGGGAACAAGAATAGAGCAGATGGGCTGAGTCGAGGCGACTGGGACAAAAACAACCAAGGAGTAATCGAGGATGCTCCACCAGTTGACGGGTTCCTGGACAGTGAGGAGAATGTGAGACTTCACATCAACTCCTGGTCGTTGGCCGTTGGTAACTATGTTACTCCTGGGCGACCTGTGTGGCTTGCGCCACCACGACATGCACGGCGACCAGACCTAGTCCTTAAGCCCTATCTCGAAGAGGACTCTTGGGGAATGTCAGGCGTGGATTGGATGATGAAGCTGGCCTTGGTAGGCAAGGACCAACTGCATGAGGACTCGCTCACAATTGAGGATGGGGCGTTGCAGGTGGGCAAGCAGGAGAAGACGATAGGTGGGATGTATCTGCTGGCAAATGCATTGTTTTAGGAAGAGGCGGTCAGGAATACGGTGCTAGATCAGGAAGAGGTAGTAGATCAAGAAGAGGGTCACAATGTGATCCACGAGAGAGAAAATGATGACTTTGAAGAGGGAGAGATTAAGGAAGCGTTTCGAGCAGAGGAATATGAGAGAGTATACCTTGAACTCGAAATACTTCTGTCGTGTGAAATGAGGGAACGGGACACTTGCGCAAAAGTCCTGAAGACGAGGCCAAATTTTTTAGTAAGGGATGACCATCTATTCATGAGAAGCAAAGGGAAAACTCCCAAAAGAATAGTCTGCGGCGTCGCTCGCCAGATTGACGTTATGGCGGCACTACATGATGGTACTGCAGGTGGCCACAGAAACACAAATACGACATATCTCAAAATACACGAACTATACTATTGGGATGGCATGGGACAGATGATCGATAACTACTATAAATCTTGTGTGCCATGCCAGGAGCGATCCTCTCTTAGACCTAGGGAGCCGCTGCACCCAAGGTATGTTCGTGAAGTTGGAGCGGTCGTACACCTGGACCTGTTGGCAATGTCGTTGGGAATAGGGAGTTACAACTTTATCTTTGATGCATGAGATAACCTCTCTGGGTTTGTAGATGGCAGGGTCATTCGCACGAAGACTGGGGAAACACTGGCTCGATGCATCGAAGAATACTACCTGCGTTATCCCTTTGTCTCTAGGTTCGTGATGGATAGAGGATCTGAGTTCACCTGTGCGGAAGTAAAGAATCTTTTGAAGAGGTATGGGGTAATCACCGAGTACACTACTGCGGCGCACCCTCAAGCTAATGCACCAGTGGAAAGAGGGCATAGCACCATCACGAATCTTCTCGCCAAGTGGACCGATGGCAGACCCAATCAGTGGCCGAATTTTTTAAGAGTTGCTTTCTTCGTGATAATATTACTGTCAGGAGAAGCACGGGCTACGCACTGGCCACACTATGGTATGACAGACAGGCAACGTTTCCTATCAAGAGTTTTCTAAATACCTGAAAGCGACAGGACCTCGAGACCAATCGGACGTTTGAGGAGTTGTTTGACTTAAGGGCACGCCAGATTGGCGCTATAGAGGACATAATTGAGGGAGCAGCAAGTAGGGTGGCGGCCAACCGTAGCAAGGACAAGTACAGGTGGGATAAGATAGCAAGGGTAAGGAAGGAACCCCTCCAGGTGGGAAACGTTGTGCTACTGTACGACTCATCCATGGAGAAGCAGTGGTCACGGAAGCTGGACAAGAGGTGGTTGGGACCGTACAGGGTCACTAGGTGTGGTGAGCATGGAGCCTACCAAATCGAGGAGTTGAATGGGATGGCATGGAAGGACTGGGTGTCTGGCTCGAGGCTGAAGAACTTTGTGGCTCGAGACGAGGTGAGCATGAATCTCACCAGTTAGAGTCACTCTCTGAGCACGTTATATAAGAGCAATAGTATAAGTAAAATGTATGGGATATTGTTCTTAGTAGAATAGCGTGACATGTTGTGACTTCTTGGTTAGACTCGTGTATGTATGTATGCATATGAAGATAGGCAGATAGCTGGGATAGTTGTGGGAGGGCTATGTCTGTCTCCGGTTGTGTGTATCCAACCTGCTTACCCTCTGTGCGCTCCTGTTTGTCTCCTCCTTGTTGTGAAGGCTTGACACCGCTTGGGGCAGCTATGCCAAGAGGGAGGGGAGGGGCAGAGTCAGTGGAAACCCCTTTGGGGGCAACCAGACAGAGGACGCAGATAGGAACCAGGAGAGAAGACAGACCTCCAGTTTTCCAGGGGGGGAACATTGAGTTGTTCCTGATCGAGTTCGAGCGGCATGCACGAGAGTTTGGATGGGACGACACCAGGATGTTGAGAGAGGTGTGAGGCACGGGCGAGTGGACAGACCCCATTGCCAACCTTGTCAGGGAGTCGCTGAGCTGGCAAGACTTTGAGAGGAAGATGGAGGGTTTGCACTCGTCGCCAGTGGGGAGAGACGGACAGTCCATTCAGTTTGACTCCAATAACTTGGGGGAGTTCCTGTGGGTCTATGATCGCTATGCGGATGAGCTGGATATTTCAGGAGAGCAGAGAATGGGGAGCTTCCTCCTGTACGTGAGGCGACACATCAGGTCGTTCGTCAGATCTATCGTGGCACCTGCAATGAGTTGGGGTCACTGCAAGAAGTTGTTGTGGAACTATTATACCCCAGCGCGTCAGGCAGGTGAGAGGGGGAGTTTGGAAAAAAAAAGAAGGGAGTCAGAGGCAGAGGAGAGGAGAACCTTTGAGCGAGGCACGTCATCAGGGACTCAAAGGGAGGACAGGAGGAAGGAGCCCAGATCCTGTAGGCACGAAAGAGCAGGAGGCTCATGTGGTCCAAGGGTGCCTCTAGAGAGAAATGGATTGTCCTATGCCAGATATAGAGCCAGACATACCTCAAGAGCCACATGTGCAAGAGCAAAGGGAGGAGCAGTCTGCCCAGGAGAAGGAACTGGATAGGAGAGAGAGAGCGGCAACGGATCAGGAGATCAAGGTTCAGCTCAGGATGAAGAACCTTTCAGAGCTGCATGAGAAGAGGCAGCAGGGAAAAAAGCCTGAGGAGGAGGGTGGTAAGAGCAGAAAGGGCACTCACACTCAGGAGGAGGACCTTCCCCTATTTTCAAAGGTCTGGGTCAGCTTTTACAAGCTGTTGGACGCTGCAGGGAGGTTTGGCGGGCATCATCAGGAGATGGGGGTCAAGTTGGTCTCTACACACCTACTCAACCTAAGGGGCATGATGAAGGAAGGCTTCGTAGAAGCCAGAGCTTCGGATCAGAAGGTTGGAGACAGATTGAGGAAAGTGGGACAAAAGGTATATGGCCAGAGGGTGGAATGGGAAATAGAGATTGAGGACTTGAAGAAAAAATTGGGAAGACAGACTAAGGAGGTGGGGGCAGTGAGAGCGGATATGGAGAAGGTTTGGGCAGAGAACGAGGCCGTCAGGCAAGTCAACCAAACCCTTAATAAGGTCAATGACGTCCTGAGGGCCTATCTATAGGCACAACAAGTTTCCTTCCAAGCAAAGGAGGCAGAGTGGGAAAAGAGGATTCGGGACATCGAGGCCAGGTATGTACAGCAGGCTCCTACTGCAGTGGTGGATTGGACGGAGGTCCAAGGGTTTGAACTCAGAGAACAACCTGCGGAGGAAGCATTCAAAAGCTAGAAGGAAGAAGAGAAGGCGGACCAGCAGGAGGGCGAAGAGGTTCCCCTGATAGATAAGGAGATGTTGGAGTCGCCAGGGGCACTAGCTGAGAAGGACACAGAGATTGAAGAGTTTGAGTGAAGGTTGCCGTCTGGCCTGACGCTTGGACAGGAACCAGCAATGCCAGAAGAGAGACCACCAGATGAGGCAATAAGAGTGGAGGTAGGTCTACCTACTACTCAGGGAGAGACCATGGGACAGCAGGAGGGTCAGGAGAGCGTGGGCCAGTCCACGATGGAAGCTGAGGCAAGGAAGGATCTGAAGGACTATCAGGAGTCAGTTATACCTCAGGAGATTCCTGTTACTACAGATCTGACGGACGCGTTGGGATCTTAGGCTACTGGTTCTGGGCAAGAGGGATATGTCGGCGAGCAGGTGATGCGAGCAGGTGACAGAGCAGTCTGCCCCACTTCCCCAGAGGTCCCACTACAGGAGCTCACGAGCAAGATCTCAACAGTCTCGTCATCAATACCTTCACGAGAAGGAGACAAGACGTCCCAGAAGAAGATTGGCAAATGCTTCTACTGTAAGAAGGACAAGCATCGATCTGACGACTGCCCCAAGAGCCTCAAGGACGAGGCAAATGGGTTGGTTATCAGAGAGTCATCTGGAGTGTGGAAAGACAGGAATGGAGTCCTAGTTCCTAAAACTCGTGATGGGGTGAGGGCGCAGTTGTATAGGCAGCTGCAAGAGGTCATGAGTGATCAGGAGTAGAATTTTCTAATAAAGTCCGAAAATGCGAGACATCTCTGACTCTCTGACTTATGGTTATTTGTATATAGAGGGATACATAGAGGATTGAATCAGACCCATGTACATCAGCAAGTTGAGTCAGTAGTGAGATGTTACCTACGCATTATAGACTTGAAAACCTTCTTGTACATAAGATAACACTGAGTATGATTTTGATTATTTTTCTCATTTTCCGCTAATGTGATGTAGAGTGTTAATATCTTTGTAGAATAGCGCTCAGAAGTGTGGGGCGACTGTCGAGTTTTGATACTTTGACACTTGGATACCTTGACTCTTTGTTGGATACTTGAACTCTTTGTGTGATACTTTGATTTCTGTGATAAGGACAGGAGCCTTTACTTATTGCAAGACCCCATACCCTGTGTATATATACGAGTCTCAAACCTTGTCATTGTGTTGTGTGTGTTGTGTCACACTCACTCTCAGTTTGTGGACTTGCCCATATGGATGGTGGTGTGATAAGATGAATGTTGTGAAATGAACTAAGAGTTAGGTTCTACAGTTCCAGCGATGCTAAGTATAGCCCCTTAGCTTGGCCTCACAAATACGTCCCTTAGACTGACTCCATTATGGTCTGACACTCTCTTCCAAAAAGTTTTCAGAATAAACAAAGGATCACATACCACTGCCCACGGGACTACGTGGAGGGGTAGTGTCTTTCTCAACATTCCATCAAAATCCTTAGTAATTCCACAGGGTTGTATCTCCCTCACTTTGATCAAAAGCAGATAAGGTCGCACGTCTTTTAGGGACACTCACAATACTTTTCAATAGTTCCATCATAATTGCCAAAAATTTCCATCTGTTATTCTCACAAAATATCTAGTCTTCCCTCGTCAGACTTTTACATATACACAAACATTTATCATCATTATAGCATCTCTATTGAGTGCTCTGACAATTTTCATCCCTTTAAGAAAGTCCAATTGGTCATTCGGTTTTCCTCTCTCTTTTCCGAGTCATACAGAAGATACAACCTTGGTTGTGACCTTTCTATTCATCATCATTTCATCTGTGCAAAACACATCATGCCATCTCTTTCTCAAGATTCAGAGAGCACTCTCTCCCAGTATACTTTGGGTTTCACTTGTCACTAGGACCTGAATGCGCAAGTATAGCGGAAGAAAAAGCGAGGGTCGCTGACCGGCACAACCTGGCAGCGGGACCATGGCTTACCAAAGGTTAAGTCTTGAAGGGTCGGTAACCCAGAGAGGCTTAGCTAGAGGGAAGGTTATTGGGGTCGATTAGGTCAAGAGTCATGACTCTTTGGGGTGCCAAGATAGAGAGAATTGCTTATCGTTGCGTAACCAACGAGGGCACCATCGCTACATAACAACACGGTGGGCCGTGGAGTCGACGTGATCGACCGTTCCATGTTGGGCCAAGATGGAGACCTGAAGCCTCCTGTGTTGGACTCCAGGTTGGGCGCTCGTTATGATTTGAGATGGTAAGCATTACCATTTGGGCGGCTAAAGGCGCCCCGGATTTTGAGAGGTCTCGATTAGGACCTGCGTCCTAAGTTATGACCCCGTTCGCGGGACGATGACTAAACAGGACACCCAACGGTGAGCCGCCAGATGTCTACGACAAAAGGAGAGGACTATCAACCTACTACCTGGGAGCGGATAGTACGTTGTAGTACAAAACAAAGTATCCCCTAGCTCCGAGGCCAGGACGTTGGAGACCCAGGTTGGAACCCTGGCAGAGGAACGCCATGACGAGAGCAGATTGATAAGACAACCTCGAACGGAGTCGAGCCAGTGAACCGGATTGGTCGTTTCCTTGTTAGCAAGATGTGGTTGTGTGTATAGCTTTGATTGGCCGACGCGACGGGGACGTCGCTTCATAAGGTCCGGAAAACTGTCGGCCTGAATACCCTTACAAGGGTATTTGGGCACATATTTGCAGCTTACAGGAAGAACGCCTTGGCGATAGCGAGGGGTGCGTCCCATCTTTCGTTGAGTACAGAGTGTGTGAGCGTGCACTTTGCGGGCATGCGTTAGCCGGACCAAGCGATTGATCAATGTAGGCTATGAAACGCCGATAGAACAAGTGAGTGCTAGGCTAGAGTTTCTGAGGCGGTCGCAACCTCGCACGCACAGGTAAGGTTATGGCAGCGTCGCGTTTACCGGGTAAGGCCGTGACTAGAGACAGGTGCTGTCTGATTTACTAGAGGCTGACGTTTCAGGCTTGCGCCATGTGGAATTCTGCGGGCACTAGGTTGGCCCTGCGCCGTTGATAGTAGGAGCCACCACTAGGAATGGCACAAACAAGAGGGAAAGTCGGGGCCTCGTCGGCGGAGGGGTGATAAAAAGGGCGTTCATAGCGGCTATGAGAGGCACGACCCGCAGCCGCATCGTAGCGGAGCAGGCGTGTGTGGTGGACCAAGCGGGGCCTTGCCCCAAGATGGCCGAGTGCGACCTTACGGAATGATGGACGCAGACCGCAAGTTAGAAAAACGGTCTGAGGTACCGTTCGCAGGCCGGGTTGGCTGGTCGTACTATTCATATGAAGGGAAGCGCACAACCAGCTCAGGCTTGGGCTTAGCCCTATAAGTTACGTCATTGGACTTTCACTAGGTGGATCTTGGGATCGAGGCCAGCAGCAAGCAGCGGAGCAGCGGAGGAGCGCATTCGCGTGAGCCGAGGGGTTGAGGGTCCCGCGCGACTATCCCCCTTGGCTTTTTGCGGGGGGTTCCGACCGTGGGCCCGCGAGGTAAGGCCAAGGACCAGATCCTCTTCACCCGTTTTTTTTTTTTTTCCTTATTATTTTTTATTTCCAAGTTTTAAAATTTTTATTTTTCCTTTTTTTGTTTTCTTTCTTTTTATCTGGGACGAGGTCCGGTACCGGTACCGAGACCCGCGGTGAGACCCAACAACTAAGTTCAGTGGGTACGCCACGAACTGCTGCCTGGGTACAGTCCTTCGGGACATCTGTTAATTGGAACGATACAGAAAAGACTAGCGTGGCCCCTGCGCAGAGATGACATGCATAAAAGCAGGGTGCAGCCCAAAGTTTTTTTGTTGTGGCATACGATGGATGTCATTGTTGCGTTTTCGTCCGACCGAACTCGTCGCTATGCGGTGCGTTATTAGAAAGGACAAAAGGTTGACGAAGGAGGAGACAAGGCGGAGTGATCAAATAGGGGCACTGACACGAGTGGACCAGGGAGTGTAGTAAGGAAAGAGGCGGGAGAAAGACAGCAAGTACTAGATGAACTAAACCTGGGTGCTGCCCTGCACCAGGTATATTCGAGGGAGAGATCGATAGGGTGATGGGATCGATGTACTGAACCAAAGCAGGCAGCGAGATGTGCAGCAGGGGAGACCAGCAAGTGTGGTGGGCGAGCTAACGGGGGAAGAACCTGGA